TTTTTTTAAACAGCAGGGGGCAGGATCAGCACTGATCCGGCTCCCTGCACTTCACACAGAACCCGGAAGTGCAGGGAGCCGGTAGGTAAGTATACAGAGCACATGTGCTCGCTCCGACTTGTGGTCAGAGCGAGCACATGTGCTGGGCAGCTTGACCGGGTGCTCCCGGTATGCCTCCAATGCAGAGGCATACCGGGAGCACCATTAACCCCGCGATCGCTGCGATAGCGGCGATCCGGGGTTAATTTTACCGCGTGACGGACGAGGTCCGTCACCCGTCGTTAAGGGTCTCCCCTGTGTGACGGACCTCGTCCGTCACCCGTCCTGAAGGGGATAATATATACATATATATAACAATAATAAATGAATAAAATAAAATATTTACAAATGTTGATCCAATAAACAATAAAACAATCAGAAAGATCTACCTGCTCTGGTACAGTCGTATCTTTGTAGATAACAAAATCAAGATGATAACTTTCTAAATAATAATAACTGTGTTTCACTATCATATTCCTACAGACACATATAGCATAGTATTTTCATTCTCAATACCTGATATTACTTAAGTACTAATACATGTATTACTATAATATCCTGTCCAATTATATTTCCATGAATCATATGGTTTCTAGCAACCTTAAAATCTTTAGGTCATTTGTATTCATGAATTACATTCCTATACCATTAATACCACCTAGTGATGATTGTATCAGTACTTTACAATCATTTAATTTTTATATTCAGTAGGCTCTAACTACCTGAAATATATCAACACTACTTATAAGTCTCATTCAAAGGATGTGTTATCAACCATGAAGTTCTATAATAATTCTTTAAATAATGTTCATGGTGTTGACAATACTTATTGTCCTAGAAATTCTTCACCCAGAAATCTTTCTATCATATATTTGTTTTTGTTTACATAATTATATTCTTCACTAAAATGCCACCTTGTAGTAACAAACTTTACATTCAATCGGAGATGCTTCGTTAGCATTGTGATGACTTATTAATGTAATACATCTTAAAAGCAGGATTGTCCTAATGTTCTGACCAATCCATATTCCTTAGTACACTTCAACTGACTAAATTAAAATAAAATAAACTTGGGGTCATACTGCCCAGAAACTCTTATTCCTAGTCTGTGTCTAACAAACTCAGGGTAATCATAAAACAACTTATAACAACTTATTCAATTCATTGGATACCATCATATCCAGAAACCTATTCTCCCTAGTCCATACCTTTATAGACTTAGGTCAAATATAATTGTGTACTAAACTCAATTCAATTCCTCTTGGATCTCTGAACTCTTATATCCAAGGCATTCTTAATGTATATAATTACCTCATATTAATCAATATAAATTATCCTTCCTTAGTTTTCTTCCTTATGTTACCATTGTTTGTTTTACTTTACTTCGATTATAAACAAAATATAAATTCTAGTGAATCTATGAAATACTATTGCACTCAATCTTTGTAGTATTAAGTAACCATGATGCTTATTTTATCAACTTCATATTTTATCTACCTCTGATACTTCTCATTCTATGTATAGGTAATAATATAATAGTTCTCTTCATAATACTATCCTTTCGTAATTTTACTCCATGTGCTATATAGCTATAAGTAGTCTCTTTTGGTATTAATACTCATAACCGTTAAATAACTTTTCAATGTCTGTTTTCTTCTTCGTTTATATTTAGGAATATATATGTATGTTAGTGTCAATCTTTTATTTCTTTGTAAGTCTGTTAATCTTCTGTATCGAATGAACTCTGTAGAATCTTCCATCACAGTTTGCAGATCAAATGAAAAGTCTCTTTCCAACAGTTGATGTCCAGTTGTCTGAAGGAATGTTTTCCTGATTTATTGCCACGAGGATGTCACGCTTTACCTACATTAAAACAAATAACATGTGCAGCATCAATACAATGGCTTACAATGTTTATATTTCATTATTATTAGACAGTTTAACATTGAATTACATGGACTACATAAAACATACTCATTTCTTCTCATGAGATCTACCATCTAGTGGTCATTACATTTATGTCATGTGATGTATAATCTTTAAATTTCCTTTATATTAAAATCTTTCTGAACATTTTAATTTTCAATTCTCAAACTTTTTATTAATCATACCCCCTGTCACGAACGCACCCTACTCCAAGAGTGTGCGTGACGTAGTTGTGGTGGTGAAAGGGTTAAAGTACACTATTTGTCTGTACTAGACCGGAAATAATGACAAAATCCCCCTTTAACACCACCCACACTTAAACATAATAATATAACTATTACTACTTTAACGCTGCCACCACCAAGACAATTTATAAATGGGGTGCCTTGGTCCCCCAGGTAAATCAATAATAAAACCCACCAAATATTACTTAGTACAATATTTAAGGAATTATAAAAATACTAACTAGTCTCTTCAGGTAACGTGATTCTTAACCAGACAAAGGCAAAACTTAATAAATGAATGTTTATTATGAGCAAAAGATAGTCACAGTGCATATAAAAATATATGATAAACAAATTATTTACACCAACAACAGATAAAAACAAAAAGGATAAAATACAGAAGTCCTAATTACTCACTTAGGTTTTCAAAGTACAACTTCTGTCCAGGGGGTCTCTGGCAAGGAAAGATGGTGACTCACCCAAAATTAGATCTTGGCCCCAAGCAAGTACACCAACACCCTTCAGGATCATTAGATATATACCCTGTGGTTTATCAAGTCTTGCCCAGGGGTGGAGTTAAGGCGTACCTACAGTAATAATAACTGACCACCTCCTTTGTTCCAGACCACTGTCAATCCAAATGGAAACATTTGACTCTATCTTCTTTTTTGTACCTGCCACAGAAATAATAATTGCATCTACAAATTTGTTATTATTTTCCCATTCCATAGACATGTTGCACGTCCCACCCACGATCCAATAGGACGGACATCACAATTCCTTTCCCTAGGGTCAAGTTAGGCCACTCATGTTTGGACTTGGTTAGAAGATGGCGCTTGTCACATTCCAAATATAACAAAAATGAGGCTTAATTATTATTCTGTGGGGGTAAATATGAATGTTTTTGTCCTTCCTTTGGATATGATACTAGAACAAAGCTAATGGCATTTACATATCAAAGAGATTTACTCACCACTTACAAAGTACAGGCTAAATGGATGAAGAGACATTCAGACTTTTTCCAAGTGTAGAACCTCACACCTTGCAGACTTCACATCCATACAGTAAAATCCTTTTCACATTCCTATGCCATTCACACTACCCCTTCTGTCATCTGCCCTCTGTGGGGGTCCCAGCTTCAAAAGATGAAACCCCTGTTGACCTCAGCAATAGCATCTCTGTAATTTGTGCCATTTACTACAAGAAATCACATTAAAAGATGATATTCCATAGTGTCATAATAAATTATACACCCTTGCCGTGACACCCCCCTTTTAAACTGTTTAATAATCTGGAGGTATAACCTAATCACATATAAGATGTTACAACAAAATATTGTTTTCCACTATACTTTAGCAATAGCAGCCATTTTGTCTTAACACTGGCACCATTTTGTCACATGAAACAAACTACAAAAACATATATTGTTTCCTACATCAAATGTATTTGTAAATCTAGGTTTTGCCCTATCAAAACTTTTGTCTTCTATATAATCAAAACATGTGTATGTCCAGGATTGCAAAATATAGTAATCCATTATCAGTCATGATATTAAAATCTCATTCTCATGAATTAAATCAAAGATTTTAAATCAACCTCAGAAGTAACAACATTGTTTTTTCCTTCTGTAAAATGATTGGAGTTACTGTATAATCGCACACACCCAATATAACATTGCATGTTCCTAACTGCTACATTAGTATATTTCATTCTGCCATATTTGCAAACTTGATGTACATTTTTATTTTAATTAATTACCTAATACTTTCTTATAACACACATAAAAACAATGAAAAACAGTACAGACTAACAATTCATTTAAAACAACAAACTAACATAGATCTCTATTCTTGTGTGCTGTTCTTAATTCTGCAATCAGCCTGTGTACATCTGTTGGCACACATATCCATTCTCATTCCCTAAACTGATCATATCTCTTGAAGTTATCTGATTCGTATAACTTTCTGTGTTACACTGGATTGCTTGTCTGTCTCCTAATTTCGATTTAGCTAAAATTGCTCTTATTTGTCTGATTACCAGTTTACAAGGAAAAGCTTAAATTGATTTATCTCCACATGTATTTTCTCTGTCAAAATTTTCAATCAACAAATTTAATATCTCATTTGCTTTTGATTTGATATCTCAGATAAAATATCTGCAAGATCTTAAATAATGTTGTTTATTGCACCAAAAACAAATAACTTTAGGAGTTATATTCTGCCTTTGATTTGAACAAATTGGGAGGGGCTCAGCTGTCTGTATCACTCTTTTACACTGAGTCCTAGAAGAAGAAGGAGAAGGGGGACGAGGGGTGTAAAATCTGCACTTCTTTCTCTGCCTAAATCCACAAGTCATTTTAACCCCTTCATTATTGGTTTCTCTCCTTAAGTTATCCAAGAACATAGCAACTTCATTCAAAGTCCTTTTTTCTCTAGCAATTACAATTGCAGTTGGATCTAGATCTTGAAATTTTTTCACAAATTCATTAATTAACTGATTCTCAGGAAAATCAGCAACAAGTCTATATGCACTTTCAAATTTTACAAGAAAACTAAATATATCCTCCCGCTTGTGTGGTTTTAGTTTTTCCAACATTTCAGTGTCTGCAAAATCATTCCCTGTTGTTAATTTTATTAATTGTGTTAATCTGTCTCGCTCATTCCCATGGACTATTTCACCATTTTCGCCATTAGGGGTACTAATGGGTGGAGTCAGTCTACGTGCAATGTATGTTGGCAGCCATATTTTAAATAATCTGTTCCTTTGTTCGTCATTTAGGCTGTATTTGTCTAAATTAGACTCAAACATTTCAGCATTAGTAAATGTATCCACTGACGTGTCATAAACTGGAATACATTTCACAATTTTCATTAATTGTTCATGGATTTTCAAATTAAGTTTTGCAGCTCTGTCTTGAAATTTACATTTCTGCAAATCACTCTGTAAGGGACATTTTCAGTATCTATTGGTTCTGGGATTAGATTCTGTGCCTGTATTTTTCTTGTATTAACACACACTTGCTTTACTTCATTTCTAAACTGGCAAAAAAAATCATTTCTTAATTCAACTCTATCCTCTAATTCACAGACTGTTTCTGACAATGTTCTCTCTGTTACATTGTTACACTGTTCATTTAAATCTGATTTGTCTTCTGTTAACCCATTCAAATCTATTTCTTTATCTGCTGATTCTAAATTGTCTTGACCTGCATTTCGTTTACAAATCAATGCATTGTAAGTACAGACTAATTTCATAACATTTCTGATCTTTTGTTTTTTCTTATTAACAAACAATTTCTTGGCAATTTCACTATTGGCAATTTCACATTGTGTGTATAAAGATTGCCACAATACAGCATCTGAATAGCTGCTATTACATGCAAACTGCAATTTACTTTTCTCTGCAATATCATTTATGAATTCCATGTTACTCACTAGATCAGTTATTTCTGTCTATTTCGTTGCTTCATCCACACATCTGCGCAGTTCTTTGCTTGGATCTGGAAATTTGCCAATCTCTGCCACGTGCTTGCTTCTAGAATTCACGTTGTAGCTTGTGCTTTTTGTCTCAGTTGTAGAAAATAGTCTTGTACAGTCTTTGTGATTTGAAAACTTTCTTTTTCTTCTGATAAACACACACAGCTCTTAACGCGGCTTTTAACACGGTTCTTTTTTTCTGTTCAAGTTTGTTTTCCCAGTTCCAAAATAGCTTTGTAACTCGATTCTTCTCTCTCCCCCCTTGAAGTGGGAACAAAACTTGAATAGAAGACTGGCTGGCTGGCCAATGTAAAATGTAATTTGGAACGGTGTTAATGTTGAACCTTCTTAATTTCTTCTTATCTTCAGTTGTATATATAGTCTTGGGCCAAATGCTCGCCACAATAATATATGTCTATATTATTGAAAAGTAGTAATACGCAATCTGACTTACGGTTTCTTCAGGTTTATTCTTTGTTACGGATACATAATAAAACATAATAAAGGATGTTACAGGATAATGGACATTCAACAGCAGATGGTAATTGCTGGACTTCTGATGGGAGAGTTACATCGTTGTACAGAGCCAAGCCAAGACTCAGCGCGACCTCGTGTCCCTCTGTTACTATATAGAAGTGTTCATACTAACGTCAGCGTTTAACTCTTGCCATATAAGGACAAGACCCCCGAATCCACATTCCAGAGCTCTCGGACAAAGAAAGCCTTGTGACTTATTGATACCATCTGTTACTTATGTCAATCCACACATCCATATATATAATCAATAGAAACATAGAATATGCAATATTCTACAGAAACCTCCGGACAATACGTGATACAAAAAATTCTCGGCTGCCCCAGAATCTATTAAAGCAATGGTTGATACCTTTTTTCTTTCCCATTCTATAGTCACTGGTAGAAGAAGCCTAAGATATCTCTTATCATTGAAGCAGGACATACACATAACACCCAAGGCCTGTCCTCCTTGAGGGCCTAGGTGTGGGAGTTTTCCGGTCGGTTAGGACATGTGAAGCGGGAATGTCCTTTCTTACCACAATACAAGCATAACCCCTCCCTTCTACGGTATTGTCTCTCTGTCTCAGACAATCGTGTAACTCCCAATTGCATTGGCTCGGGAGGAGTAACCGCTGTTGTCTCAGAAGAGGGATAAGTCAAGGCTAGGCGTTCCGGCACCCTTCTAGGTCTTTCCCTAGTGTTTTGCCTATGCCGGAGTCGTTCGTCAATGTGAGCAAGATAAGTGATCAGTTCCTCCAGAGTATTAGGTAAATCTCTGGTAGCTACTTCATCTAAGAGTTTGTCAGACAATCCATTCATGAATACATCTACAAACGCTTGTTCGTTCCACCTAACCTCAGCAGCAAGAGTACGGAACTCCAGAGCATAGTCAACTAGGGAACGTGGGCCTTGTCTCAAACGTAACAGTGTTTTGACAGCGTTAGTCCTTCTCCCTGGGGGGTCAAAGGTTCTCCTAAAAGCTGCGACAAATTCAGCATAGTTAAAAACTATCGGGTTGTCGTTCTCCCACAAGGGATTGGCCCAGACTAATGCTCGAGGGAGTGAGAGCGAGGGAAATGCTGTAAAGTACAGCTGTCGTCCTCTGGGCCCCCTCTGCAAGTATAGGGAGCCGGGGGGCCACACTATGCCACCGGACCACCAGGGATCATGGAATCTCCCCCCTCCCTGAACCAGGTAAGAAACAGGGAGGGGGGAATAACAGTTATTACATTTACATGCATACACTACTAAACACACACACACACACACACACACTGCATCCACTGCACTAACACACACTGCATTCATTACACTAACACACACACTGCATTCACTGCACTAACACACACTCTGCATTCACTACACTGACACACACACTGCATTTACTACACTAACACACACACTACATCCACAACACTAACACACACACTGCATTCACTATACTAACACACACACACTGCATCCTCTACACTAACACACACACACTGCATCAAGTAGACTAACACACACACTGCATCCACACCACTAACACACACACTGCATTCACTGCACTAACACACACACTGCATCCACAACACTGACACACACTCTGTATTCACTACACTGACACACACACTGCATTCATTACTGTAACGGATCGCCTGGCACCCCGACTGGGTACCTCCGTTGAAGGATGCTCCTAGCGCTTCCTGAGGACTCCAAGCACTGCAGCAGACACCACAATCACCGAACTAGAGAAGCGTATACCTTCTCTCAAGCATATGAATGCTGTAGACAGTTGAATAGGAACCATACGAATAGGTTTACTCTCCTAGCAGTCAAACTGGAACAGCATACAATGAATCCTTCCCCCAATAATGAGACGACACTTCACTTTGAGGGTTAAACAGGAACTAATTTATGCTTTAATCTTTCAAGTAAATCCATACCCCCTAACAGCAGTGTCCAGTGAAGCAGGAAGTCAATGGGGACACTGGGAGAAATGGGGACACAGACACTAGGGACACAGAGACACAGACACTGGAAGACATGGGGACACTAAGACACTAGGGACACTGAGAGACATGGGGATACTGGGACACTGGTTGGGAGGCATGGAGACACAGGCATGGAGACACTTGGGGACACTGGGGACACTGAGAGACATGGGACACAGACACTGGGAAACATGGGGACATTTGGGGACAATAGAGACACTGGCTGGGAGACATAGGGACACTGGGAGACATGGGGACACTGACATTTGGGGACACTGGGAGACATGGGGACACTGAGACACTAGGGACACTGAGAGACATGGGGATATAGACACTGGGAGACTAGGGGACACTGAGACAATAGGGATACTGGCTTGGAGGCATGGGGACCCTGTGTCCCATGTGTCTCTGTGTCTCAGTGTGTCTCCCAATGTCCCCATGTGTCTCAGCATCCCCATATCTTACAGTGTCCCCTTGTTTTTCAGTGTCCCCTAGTGTCTCAGTGTCCCCATGTCTCCCTGCTGCCTTTCCCCCCATACTTCACTTACCTGAGCTGTAGGCTGTCTCTGTAGGCTGGGAGCTGCTGTCTGGACTTTCTGTGCTGTGTAGCTGCTCCCTTGCGGATCAGTAAGTAGAGAGAGAGAGGGAGGGAGGGATATGCTGTAACTTCCTATCCCTGCCTCTCTCCACACACAGTGACCCCTACTGGTTAGTGCTGGTATTACAGCGTAATCTCCGTTTATACTGAGAAAAATACCTGCATTTGTATTGCCGGTATTACTGCAATACCGGCACGGCCAGGCAGCCTCAAATACTGATAAAATACCAGTCAGGTGGCAAACCTAAGAGTAGTGTGTGTAAAAAAAAAAAAAAAAAGTACTTTTTTTTTTTTTTTTTTTTAAATGGGCTTATTCCATGGGCCTGGGCCTGGGCCTGGAGCTGTAGCTCCATCAGCCCCTATGTTAATCTGGCCCTGTCTTTATCCTTAACCAAAAGTGCATGAATTTTTGCAGGTGTTCGGGTAGAATCCACTGCCTGGAGCGGGGGTGTCGGATGTTTCTGGGGCAAACATTCTCTGCCCCGTAGTATCCAGGAAAGTATCCTGCTCCTGTGCAGCAGACGTGTCCATCGTCCCTGCACTCTTCTTGTTCTGGGCCTCCCCCAGAAAGGTCTCCCTGACAAAAGCGTTGAAGCCCCAATTGCTATTGTTGGAGTCAGAGGCCTCCGCCTGCCACTCGTCCTCTATAGAGAGGGAATGAGGCATATCCTGTTCCTCTTCCGAGGAATCCTCCTGAGTTGGAGGAGGGGAAATAAGTGGTGCATGCTTAATGGGCGCTATGCCCTTGTCAGGGCCAGTCTTGGAGCCTTCGCCCTTCCAATGGTGTTTCGCCGGCCGTGTTCTCTCTGGAGGAGTCAGCCGACGCATCCGAATCTTCTTTGTCTTGGTAGTGTTTCGACTTGATGGGATCAGAGACCGTCAGGAATGCTTTGGCCATACACTTCTGCAGGGAAGTGGTCACTGCAGCATTAATTATGGCCTGGAGGTCCATGGGATTCTGGGTATCTTCCATAATAGGTCGATGTGTGTTATATTGTAAACAAGCACAGGTAGGAGAGGGAGAGAGACCATTAGGTTGGGTCGTGAAATAGGCTGTGGAACCTTCAAACTTAGACACAGCCTTCCGGCGTGTGGTAAATTATACAGACTATTACAATCACTGATGTTCACCCAGGAAAATCGGAATTGCAATGACAAATTCCACTCAGCAGCACTCTGGGAGGTACCCAAAATGGGTCTCACCCAGTGCCAGAGAAATAAGTAATACCCGACTGGCAGTCCCACTCCCCAGGGGTATATTACCAACCTGACCAGATCCCTGAAAGTTTTAATAGTTGGGCAGAAAAAATTTAAACCAACAGAGAGCCTCTTCGTGTTGGGAGTAACATCCATGACTGACAGCACCAACAAAATAGCTGAGATAACAGGGGCTATGATGGTGCCTAAAAAGCCCTCAGTAGTCGCGAACGCAAGAAGCCGTGAACGGTATGTTCGCATCAAACTACCGAATGGGAAAGCTGTGAAT